ATATATATATATATATAAGTGCAGGCAATCTAGAGAGGAAAGGTTATCCAAGAGTGATAGCATAGAGAATGGAAAGTGACTTTCGACATCGCTTGAAACTTTTCTCTTTCGTTTTTTTTATTTTTATTCGAATATTTTCCTTCTCTTCTTTCCTCTATTTTTATCTTCGACATTCATTTCGTATCGAAAAGAATATTCTTGTTTCGAGCCACCGATCGATATCGATCCTCGAAAAAGTGGGAAAACGTTTAGCGCTCTCGCTTCCATCTTCGTTAAACTTGCACCACCTCGCAACAAGAGGAAGAACGAGGGAATTCAACGAGTGGTGTACGTCGTACTATCGACCCCCTGTTGAGACGAGACACCGTTTCGAGTACTAGAAAAACGAGGAGCAAGAGTCTTCTTCGGGTTCTCTCTCTCTCTCTCTGTCTCCTTTCCACTACTCGCGTTGGCTCGTCGCACAAATCATGCGTGTAACGAGTAAGGAAGGCATGCACGAGAGAGGAGGCGGGCCATCCCAACCCGGGTCCAGGTCGAGCGGGATAACGACGTGAACAGCGCGAAAGAGATAACGAGGAGAAATTTAGGACGACCGTTCGACCGGTTTCAATACCGAAATGGCGAAACTGTGTAACCGTGAACAGTTAATTAGCCCACGTGTGCAAACGAAACGAAAGGGTGGAATTAACAGCGACGATCGTCTAAATGTGATCAACACTTTGGAATTGCGACGAATTGTAACAGGAATGGGTAACGATGATAAAATGATAATTGAATGATCAATACTGATACATCGATTTTAATTCAAATTAAAATTATTAAAAAAAAAAAACAAAACAGCGCATTTTTCGATGCTCAATCGTCTACGTATTTATTATTACCTCAATTTCGTAAATTCGAAGCTTCGATTTACAAATTTGACAATTTGCCGAAGAATCAGCTGAATCGAAATTTCACCATCGACACCCGCCAAGTTTCATCCTGCTTAATCATCAATCTGCCGTTCAATCTTTATATCCAGATAAAATTCGATGTCCGATACGAATCGATGGATAGGAAATCGCTTAATAGAACGGATCGATCACGTTCAATCCGAGTTTCTCTGCGGACAAATCGCGGGAAACCGCGGAACAATCGAGCTAATTATTATTTCACGGCTGGATTGCAATTTCGAGCACGTTACGCGCGTGAAATGCAATCCGGTTCTGGAGGTCTGGTTCGATAAATCCACGACGAATTTCGACGAAAGATAGGGGAGAATTAAGAGTGGCTTCTCCCTCCTCCCTTCGTGACAGTGAACTCTCTCTCTCTCTTTCTTTCTCTTTCTCGAAGCGTGACATTGTCACGGATCGTGTTGCACGATACGCTCATCTTCCCCGACCGTGATCGCGCGCCAAGCCAAGCGAGCCGAGGCTGAATTTCAACCTAGACGCTGCTGCTGTTGCCTGGCTTTCTCCTGAACGGCCATTACACACTTTTCACGGAACTTGATCGATCAAACCGTTCAGTTGCTTGGATTGGGATTTCGTCGACGATGTTTCTTTCCTCGCTGTACATCGAGAAACACTATTTAAGGAAGGAGGATGTGGAAATTTAATACGTGTTGAATGAAGATGTTTATGCGAAATAAAATTTCACATTCCAAATTACTATGGAAAAAATCTTTTATGAAAAAGAAGAATGTAATAATCCTTGACTTACATTTATATAAAACATATATCGTATCGAATATTCTTCGTACGAAGAAGAATAATTCATCTTCAAAAGGAGAGGGAGGGGAAACATAGCACGGTTCGTTAAAAAAGACTTTGGAAGCGGGTCAAGCGCCGAAACTTATTTCTCTGCCGCGATCGCAAACTCGGTAACACGGTAACGCGAGGGCAGCGGAAAGTGGGATGGAAGAGGCGGTGGAACGGTGGTGCGAGAGAGAGGAGGATGTCGATGACCCCGGCCTAAGGCTGCACCTGCATCACCTGCGGCCAGAGGAGAGGTGGTGTGTGCACGTCCTCGTCGACGGAGAACGATCGTCGCCGTTCGACCGTGCGGTGAACTTGATCTTGAAAAAAGTTGCTCGGCCATCTGTGCCGCCTCTCGAGAGGGGGAGGGAGGAGAGGGGAGGGATTCCGAGTCGGCGAGAGGCATCGACGACGATCCAACACGCGGAATCCGCGGATTTGTCGAGCGTTTCCTCGTTCGTGATCGGCAGATCTTGCCTCGTTTCGACGTGGATCATTAACTCGCGCTGCGTCTGAGAATTCCCGGAATTATTTACCATATGGGAACCGATCGTGATGGTTGGTTAACTTGGATTACGATAGCCGACTCGTTGGAATTATCGTGAATTGATTGGGATGATGGAAACTTGGATTTATTTGTACGAGGAGGAGGAGGAGGAGGAGGATCATCGCGAAATCAGACTCGTTTTGTTTCCAGAATTGTGAAAAATTATGATCTGAAACTTACTTTTTTGGAGATTTGATTTTGAATGTTGAGAAAGAATTATTAGAGATAATTATTTTTAAAATAATAAGATACACAAGTGGTAATAAATTAAAGTTACAAGAGTCGAGTTATAAGAAAAAAAAAATAAATCGATCCAACTTTAATATATTCGAAACGCTATAATACATCGTTCCAGGAGAACATTCTGTCAATGTTCCAGACGAAGAATTACTCGATTAATAGAGTTCTCGATTTCTCGAGCGAATGCCGTAGACGTACTCTCAAAGATGATTAATGCCATCAACGGTAGCCATTTAAAATACAGTATAGACAGTTTGTCGATACTCTTAGTTAGACGTATAGTCCGGAGAAATAAATTACTCGAGATCCGGGTCAAATCACCGTTTAAATTAAAATACTAAAGTATTAAAAGAAACACCTCGAAAATATTTCTTCCCGTTTTCCATCACTTTTCAATCACGACTTGGATATTTTTCTTCTATTATATTATTTTTCTATAAACATAAAAGTATGGACGAAAAAGAGTGAATCCTTTTACTTTAAATCGTAACCGATTCCCCCGATTATTAATTTCACTTTTTGAAACTCGTTCGTTATCTTCGTCGTCACGAGTTTCTCACGATCGAGCCATCAATTTAAATTCGAAAACAGTGTGGAAAAATTGCTGCAATATTTTGCCCGCGTTCCAGGAACGAAACGAACCAAGTGTTATGTTTACGTTTATATATTATTTAGTCGAACGGCTGAAATCGACGTCCTGTTTCTCCTCCCGATGATATTGCGTAGTTGTTTCCTGTCTGAGTAACGGTAACCCCGGTGTACAATTCTCGTCGCGCAACCTGTGCCTAAGCGCAGAGATGTTATCGAGTCGCGCTTGTGCGCGGAACAGCCGCGCTCTCGACCGCGATCCCGACCAGAGATTTTTCATTGTTCCCTCGTAGAAAGTGCGCGCAGCGGTCGGCTCTCTCAACGTGCCGTTAGGCCACGTGCTCTCGAAACTTTAATAAAGGTGTAACACCGTTGTCCCCCCGCTGCTGCTACTCCTCATCGAGGAACAAGAAGCATGGATAATCGTGGGCTGCCTTTGAACATGCACGGGTGGAAAAGATTCCCGTCGCGAATCGAACGCAATAGCTAAAAGCGGGTGAGGATTTATTTGTCGAAGTCGTTACGGTTGGGAAACGGTGTAGGTTTGTTTGCCAAAGACACTGGCAAACGATATTTATTTGGTGTGGCTGAATTGAAAAATAGATGGATGGCGGAACGCTTCTCCTTCTTCTTCCTCCTCTTCGTCGTCGTCGTCGTCGTCCTCTTCTTCTTCTTCTTCTTCTTCTTCTGAGAATGACGAATCTCTCGTGATTTCTAAAATTGATACTGTGAGTGGTGGCCTTAATTTCGTGCTTGTTACTTGTTAGGCGAGAAGGAATGTGCAAGGAATGTGTATTTTGTTAAGACGACCCGTGTTGGTGCAACTATTATCGTGTTGGCAAGGTTAAACGTAAGAATGTGGAAAATTCCTCCTCCGACATTTTCGCACCCTTCGTTGTGGTTAATGATCAACGTTTCGATTTCGTTGCAATATTAATTTTCGACGAGAAAAAGGAAGTAAAAGTTCTTTTGAATACATGCTCAGAAATTCAATTGACAAAGTCAAGATTGTAAAATTATTAAATTATAAACAGAGAGAGAAAGAGAGAGAGCTTCCACTTAATTTTATCATCGTGATACGAAATAATAGCATCAAATCTTCCTTCTCTGATATTGCGCAAGCACAATTTTCGGTAACGTAAATTCAACTTGGAAATCCAAAAAAAGGAAAAAAAGAAAGAAAATACACGTTCGAAAGCGCGTTTACGAGGGTAGCGAGGTAACTTTACGCGAAGCTGTATAACTGGCGCAGAAATTACGTTCTGCCTAATTGTTCCTCCAGTAGTAGGAACTGTCGGGGTCATTGCGATCTCACGTTAGTCGTTCTCTCATTTCCTAGCGGAAACGAGGAAGGGTGGTTCCACGCGGGGCCGCAACCACCACCAGGTCGATCCTCTCGATTTGTTTACGCACTCTGTTAATTAACCTCGATAATTGGATACGTGCCAAGCGAGTTGCCAACTCTACCCCCTCCTTTTCCATGTTCCATTTCTCGCGAAAGAGAAACTCGAACGGACTCGTATAACTTTTACAACCTGTGATGTATTATTCTAAAAATTACAATATCCTTTTTCCCGAGAAGGGGACACCGAATTAATCAATTTGAGTTGTACGAACAACTGATTGACACTTTTGACGAACCCGAGAAGCGAATAGAATTTATTCGCTTTCGAAATATCTCCTCCGAAAAGAAATACACCGTTCTCCTTTTCCGGTATTCAATCGAGGCTTCTTCTTATCCTCCCAGCGATCCACCTTTGAGCTCATCATGGAATCCTCATTTCATTTCCGCAAAAGAGGACCGAATTCCCGTGGAATTTTACCGAAAAAACCATCCACCCTGCCATATTCCGTACACGTAAATGCACTTCGTATGCAAGCATCGCGCGAGCAACGGTCTACTCTTCTTTATTTCGAAAAAATTCCGCATTCCTCGCCGCGGGATAATGGAGGGACGTCGTTTTCAACGATTCATCCGCGAGCAATCTCTCGGCCCGCGACGACACCCGGTCACGAGCCGATGAAACAACGCGAAGAATGCCTGTTCCGGTCCGGCCAACGTTTTAATAAACTCCAAAGCTTCTCTCAAAGGTCCTTTGACCTTTCTCGGAACCGGCGTGGTGAAACGCGTGGAGAGGAGGAGCGGAGAGGGTGGAGGAGTTTCTTTTCCCTCGGAGGGAGAACCATCTCCGAATCCCCGTGAGAATCGATCAAAAGGATAAGATTGAACGTTAATTGGCGACAGGAGACGAGAACCAGTCCGTGTCTGATTGCTGCAATCGTTGACCCGTTGTCGCTCTTTATTAAATCGAAGGGAGTGGGACGATATGTCGGCGTTTCTCACAGATTTCATTTCCTTCGAGAGGAAGGAAGGATCGATTTCGTATTTGTAAAAACATCAATCATCGTAAAAGTATCCTTTTGTTTGTTTGCGTTCCAATTGTGAGTAACCATTTCCACGTTTATTCTTATATAAACCGTACTATAAAATTAATTTACATTGAGGATAAATAATGTCTTAAAACGAGCGTGTTAAATTTATTAATTATCCTCGTGATTGCTACGAATCGTCCAAAGGATCCTGAAAAACGGTGTAAATTGACCGCACGAATTCGAATTTCGAAGAGGAAAGAGGACCTCGAAACCTCGAGGATCAGCTGACGGAGCAATCTTTTCGGTACGATTTCATTCCTCTTTCTTTTTCCCCTCGTGGAAATCACGGTTTCTCGTTAACCGGGACACGATTCCAGGGAGATAGTGGAGTACGCGTGGTCGCGTCTCCCCGCGGATCACGGCTGCCAACCGACCCCTCCGCCGAAATAATTGAATAATTCAGGCGGAGTCGCGTGGTGCCGCCAGTTTGCGGAGTGTCAGGGTGTCTCTGCTCTCGTGGCCCCACGCACACACGGGGAGCGAGACATATTCCGCTTCGTATAACCGGCTGTTTCGGTGTCGCTTTTCGCGTCCGNNNNCTTGATACCGAAACCTTTCTTCCTGCCTTCAACGGAGAGAAGGA